TAAAGTATATAAAAATATTAGTGCCTATTTAAAATGTCTTATTGTTACGCAGCATTTCTTTGGAACAAAACAGAGCGTTCTCTAGCTTAAGTTGGTGTCATAAACATTTTCCAATATCCAGGCTATATACTTTGGAATATATATATAAGTTGTACTTTGTGCTTTGTGCCTCAAATTGAGGGGGGGGGGGTGTTTTAGTGTGAGATTTACGGCACTTACATCCCAATTAGGTGGTATAAGTGTCGAAAATTAGAGGTGCCTTAAGAGAGTAATAAAGAAAAGAAGGAGGAGAGAAATGAACGATAGATGTTTGATGGAAAAGAAGGGACGAACCACATCAGAGTACCATCAACCTAACCTGAAGTTCTTTTTGTACCATCTTTTGTTTTTAAGTCTTGGTATGCTAGTGGCAGTTGGATGGCGCCGTTGGTAGGTCCTACTTCTTTAATTCCCCGCAGTAGTTTCTGTCTGTATGTCTGTCTGTCTGCCTGTCTGTCTGTCTTACTTTTTTTCATTACGTATCAAACAAAATAAATTCGTATGAGATGTGGTGCTACCGTAGAATGCCAGATGACTGGGATTCTGCACCCTAGCAGCGAAACGGAGACTCTTGAAAAAAAATTGTCCGGAGGGGAATCAAACTCACGTCTTCTGCGTGCAATACTTGGAAGCCTACCGCTGCATTCTTATCACAAATGTCTGGTCAAACAGGAGAGTGATCCGTATTGCCATTTATAGGTCACGACCTTTGCCCTGAGCATACCTCCGTGTTGACGTCAACTCCGAGAGGAAAATCGTACTTCATTATATCGATTCTATACTTCAATTGAGATATCAGCTTAACGCCATAAATGTTGCATGGGGGAAAACAAGGATGTTGGAGGAGGTGTGATTGTGGATGTGGGTGGGGGTGGGGGGGACGCAGAGATCGCCAGTGCTGCAGGCCAGCATAATATCTACCAAACACACAATACAGGTGGAGACACTTCTTGTCACAAACGCAGGTGGTGAAGGAAGGATGCGGCAGAGCATGGCCGTGCAGTGTCTCAGTTGTGAGATTTTGTCATACCTGCTGTTACTATCATAATAAAAAAAACAGCAACAAAAAAACCTTCCACTTTTCTTACAGAACAACCTACATATTTAAGAAAAACAGAGTAACAATCTCACTCACTCTCTCTCTCTCTCTCTCTCTCTCTCTACCCCTCCCCCCTCTCTCTCTCTCTCTCTCTCTCTCTCTCTCTCTCTCTCTTTCTCTCTCTCTCTCTCTCTCTCTCTCTCTCTCTCTCTCTCTTTCTTGCTCCAATTGCCTCATGTCCTCTACATCCTTCTTCCCCCCCTCCCCCAACCTGAACTTCATCCATTGCACATATTATGCGCAAACAATTACGCACATACACACTTTCTCAGACACCCATGCATATTTTCAGGTACGTACGCTCTCCACTCAACACACACACACACACACACACATGCAC